CCCCCCCACACCTTGATATTTTTTAAAATGTTGAACTGCAGGCCTATATCCTGGATACATTTTATTGCATTAAATGTGAGAAATAAATCTTGAATATTGTTCTGTGACTGTGCAAAAAACATTAAAAAAAATCTAATTACTGGCTGAAATTTGAGCTCAGAAGGTTCATAAAAAGTAGCTTAATTAAAATAATATTCATTGAATTTAGATTTAGATCAGTGTTTCTTCATCCCGGTCCTCAAGGCGCACTGCCCTACATGTTTCAGATGTTTCAACACAGATTTCAATGAACTGATTAACAGGTTTTTGTTGAACTGCAATCAACTGAATCAGCTGTCAGGGCCTTGGGGACCGGGGTTGGGAAACACTGACCTAGATTAAGATTTATGGTTCTAAAAACTACAAAAAAATAAAACTGGATTCCCACGCTTTTGATTCTCTGAAATGTTTGAATTATCCACAGAAATGTGAACCTAGTCTTTATTGACCTTGTACATTTGTACTCACAGCTCCGATGCGACACCTGGCGGCCAARAGCAGTACTGCCGAGAGAATTACTTTTTGTTCTTTTAAAGGGGGAAATGCATGTAAAATATTTGAAAAAAATAACTACTGTATTTATTCGTATATAATACTAGAAATTTAACCCTAAAAATCATCCATAAAATGGGGGGATAGTATTATACACGAATTATTGATTTTATGTTTTATAAGCTCAAAATGATCATGTTATAGCCTACTTGAAATCATATTATACATGAATATGGTAAAGATACCTCAACAGAACATGACTGATAAAAATTAATTTCACTGATAAGAAAAGTAGTTAAGTCATAAAACTGCTCACAATTGAGAAAAAATGTAAAAGTTTCACTTTGTTTTGAATGTAACAAACTAAAAGTATTGATAAAAAACTTGGTAAAATCACAATTCCTCAAAAATACGAAGTACTATGAGGAAGTAAATGTACTTTATTACACGCCTCTGTGAAAAAAAAGTGATAAAAATATCAATTACTCAACAATTTGCTTTATGTTTAAATTGGCTCAATAAAAACTTATTTTATGTAAAAATCTAAATCTGCCCAGTTTTTTTCAATAATTGTCATTAATAACGTCATTTGTGTGTCCTTGAGTAAAAAAAGAAAAAGGAAAATTTGTTTAACAACTGAAGTGACTGAAAAGGTCAATAAGACTTGCTGGAAACAATACCCATCACAAATTATTTCAAAAATGACTTTATTAATACAGTGGTATACTTAAAATTGTGTCAAAGAGAAAAAAAAATATGTCAGCCACATGTGAAAAGCTAATATCCAACTTAAAGCTGTTATATCTAAAAATAAAAGAGTACTGGTGTGCCATACGTAATATATCGTCTATTAGTACAAAAATACATTTAAGGGCACACAATATAGCATCCAGTATCATAAACCAGTGAAAATAAGGGGGATATCTTTAAGCGCACACCCTTTCAAAAGGACATGTTTTATTGCATTTAAAGTATTTTTTTACTGATCCTCAAATTACTGAAAGAACTTGAACACAGTGTTAATATTTGTAGAAAAGGTGTGATGTGCTGTTGTTGGTTACAATTCCAAGGCTTCAGGGTACTAATTATATATTTATATCCAGAATACAAAGAAAACTTCTTCACTCTCCATGTTTTCTCTAAGTTTTGTACAAAAAGAAAGACGTACAAAATGTTCATTTACAAAACAAAAGAAACAAGGCAATGTGCTCACTTTATTTACAGCCACCTCTCATCTGTAGTTCTGTTTGTTTTTGTTTTCAGTAATGCATAGCAGATAAAAGAAAAGCTTTATTATTTTTTTTATTAACCGTTAACTGAGTGCTAAACCCGTTCCATTATACAGTGGGCTCACAAAGATGGCAAAACAAATGACATATATACCATAATTTATCATAACTTAGGTTTCTTCTTTATGAAAAGTGAATAAATCTGCAGATAAGGCATCGCTGCTCGTTTGAGTGTAAGAGCGTCCGGAGAGGAACAGAAAAACACAAAATGACCAATATTAAAAAAAAAAAAAAAAGTGGGGAGGATGTGAGGAAGGAACAGAGGAGGCTACTGGACCTGAGTAAAGAACATGCATAGATCTCCCTCAGGCTGGAAGGAGAGACGAGGTGCTCAGGAACAAACTAAGCTACTGGGTTTTAGAAGAAAAGGAAGAACTAAACGTCTGAACGTGAGCTGCTGAGGCTTCATCAGCAGCTCCTTCAGGCTCCTGTGAACGCTCGTCTCAAAACCTTCAACAAATGTGAACTTCCACTCTGAAAACCACGACAGTTCTCCTTCACTCTCTTCTGAACTGAAACTTCTACGTACAAATTTAGCACATCTTCTCTATACCTCTATAGATATTTAGCATAAATACATTGACAATTCTCTGAAGCAGAAAGGCTGCCTGAAAAGCCACCCGTTAGCTAGATTTAGATGTAAAATGACAATAAACACTGCTTCATATATGATGTCGATCATTAGATGACAGGGACACGCAGCAAACCTTTGACTTCTCATCAAAACTTCAAATTTAAAGGGTAGCTTGTAATAATAATAATAATTAAAGTTTCGCCTTCATCCATTGATGCAGTAAACAGCACTGACCGGCTCTCCTTCATACTTCACTGTGTGTGTGTGTGTGTGTGTGTGTGTGTGTG